AGATATATATATTTTTCCTATGTCCTTATCATTATCTATTTATTTTAATTAATCATCCAATTATAAAAACTCTTTTCTTATCTTTTATTTTTTTAATGGTATTGTAAATAAATGTAGAAATTGTCCTTAAATACTTAATTTAGAGAAAAAGTAAAAAAAAAAAATAGTTATTTTGGCATAGAGAAAATATGATAAGTTCATTAATAAATACATTTATACATTTTCTAATAAATCAATTATCTAACATGTTTTATTTTTATCAATCAAATGTATTTTTTTCCTTACATAAAGTATTATAAAAAATATACAACAATATACATAAATAGGAATAGTAATCCTTATTTCATACAACAATATACATATTTTGGACCAAAAAAATTACTTAACAATTCTTTTATATGTATATATAAGTCTTTACAAACTCTTTCTTTTATAATTGTTTAACTTGTAAAATTTTATTTTATGGTTTTTTTCTTATCCCTTCTATTATTTCCAATTTCTTGTCTTTTTTTTCCATTCCTATTCTATTCCTTAACTTGTATTGCAAATTATATTGATATGTTAATATAAATACTCAAATCAAAGTTACAAAAAAGAATTTAAAAAAAAAAAAGAAATTTGAATGAAATTTTAGTACAATTGAATGTATATTTCCAAATATATGTGGCAATAATATTGGATGTATATACAATTGAGAAGAAATCTAAAGTAAAATTTATATTTAAAACCACTAAAAAGTTTATAGTAGTATAATATGAATAAAAAAATAATATTTTCCTGCAAAAACAAAAAATATATATATATTCTTTTTCATATAATTTGATTTCTATTAAATTCATACCTTTCTTATTCGGTTCAGTATATGAATCAACATTTTTATACCTCTCATTGACTTCAATTTCATGAGTGAAGTTTTCTCCTTCACATTCAAAAAAAAAAAAATCCGTTAATAGTCTACAAAGAAAAAAATGCATAAATTTAAACAAATAAAGTTACAAAATTTTTTTAAAAAAGCATCATATGTTTTATAAAAAAATTCATAAATAGGAATAATAATCCTTATTTCATACAACAATATACATATTTTGGACAAATAAGAAAAAAGACACAAGAAAATAAAAACATAATATTATATTTAGTTACAATATGAAACATGAAAAAAAAAAAAAAAAGAAAGAAAATTTTGGAACTCACCATATTAGTAAAAAGAAATTGTAGAGATGAAGAGGAGAATATGATATATTGATATAGAGAAAGTGACTAGAGATTAGAGGTGAAGAGGAAGATGGAAGGGTATAGACAAAAATCATGGAAAAAGATGTCATCAAAAATCATGGGAGGGTATACATTTATACATTTAAACATTGACTTTTCATTTTCTTTATTTAAGAGTTTTTAAATATTTAAATCTTTGGTTTTTTATATTAAAATAATGTTACCTCATCTATTACATTTATTCATCAATTATTTTTATCATTTATAATTTTCAATTATTTGCCTATCTATCACTTTTATTATCTTTTATAATTTTCATTTATTTTTGTCATTTATTTATAATTTATAATTTTCATATATTTTGCATATTTTGTTTCAACATTTTAAAATAATATAATATTATATTTTAAATAAATGCATACCATATTTAATGAAATTGGATATAAATTTTGTATATGAATGTTTTGCATACCTTATAATATCCATCTAAATTGTTTTCCGTTGAAAAATTATTTGGCCATGGTCTTGCCTCTTCATTTACCAAAGGATTAATTTTTTCAGTTATATGTCTTATATATTATTATCTTTTCAATATTAGTAATTAATAATTATCATACTATAATATTCATCTAAATTATCTTCCATTGAGAAATTAATTAGCCATAGCC